CAAAAAAGTGATATTTTGGGTTATTTTAGACCTTTTATTGTTAATTATTAAAAAACCTCACCTGATGGTGTGTCGGTTTTGCACATATTATACTAAAATTCACCCAAATTGTATGAAAAACTTTACAGATCCTTGGCTACTCAACAGTCTCCACCAGGTCATTTATTTTCCCCATATCCCTGGACTATACAGAGAAAAGGCACTTTTACTCGTTTTCGTTTTTACTGTTTTCGAGAAAATTGCAGGTATGTCTGCATAACACACATTGTAAGTAGATTACAAAAAATGTTTCTATCAATTCGTTTTATAAACATCCTACATAAAAAGTGTAAATATGCACTGATAACGTTTGATTGATTAGGCAACACAATATATCCTATTAACCTATCTCTCAGGGTACCAGCCCAGACATTAAATTAAAGCATTTTTTATTTTTGGCTTCAACATCATATAAATTCTGGTTAGCATAATTGTGCTTGTTATGAAAAATGAAAATTCCGTGGAAGGGATGAATGTTGTCTAATTAGGAATGTTAACGTACCTATTATCTCAAAACTCTTCTACAAAATATATTATTAATCTGGCATTACAATCTGGTGGATCTCAAGTGATCGGTAGAAGCACTCAGCTTGTACTTGTACACGTTGGATATGGCAGAGGTTAAGTGTATGTTTCCCAGAGGTTCTGTAAATAAGAATGTGAATGCTACTTCAAGAGTGATTTGATTGAAGAGTGATCAAGATTTGACTTTTTCTTATGGTGTGGAAACATATCTAGGTCTAGCAGAACCGATTTTCTAAGATTTTTACCATATTTTTCATTGTTCCATAGCCACTGATGTCGGGTGAATATGAGAACAGAACGACTGGGCGGCATGAAGACAGACAAGAAATCGTATCAGCTATTTTTATATTGGTGCAGAGTGGCATTATTTATACAGCGCTATTCAAAAAGTTGGCACCATATGGGAAAAAACTTTATGTATAAATTTAATAAATTGCTTGTCAGTGGTCTCTGCATGTCGTCAAATCAAAATAGCGCCCATCCAACCTCATAAAACGTGTGTCATATACGAGAGGTAGCCGACAACTGAAAATCGGCTCTTTATTTTCAACCCTAGGGGAAAATGTTATAAAGAAAAATTATTTCCCTCTAAAAGATTAGTCCGAATATATAGTTTCACTTCATTATGTCGAAAAAGCGATTCCTGACATTTTTTCAAATTTTCCTCGTACCATAATTCGGAATGGAATGGAAAATATCCATCACTAAAGTCACGTTTATTTAGTACGTTTCTGCAAGAAAAACATTATATAATTTCTTCTTCGAGGTACCTAGTGCCCCAGGGTGGCCAGTTTCAACGTCATCTCCTGGAGTTTTGTGGAAATTCGTTATAAACTTAGCCGAAACTCGTTACCTCGTGGTTTTTGGGGTCTATCAACACGAATATCACGACGGTAACGGTCCTCGAGGTACCTAGTACCCAGGATGGCT